GGAGCAGCTGTTCACACGCGATTTTGTAAAATCGCCCAAGAACAGCAAATTCTTACCCGCGATTTTCTAGAAGCACCCGGGAGGACGAAAATTTTACCCGCGATTTTTCAACTTCACCCTTGAAGAGCCTCTTTTTACCCGCGGTATTCTGAATAATCTGCCCATTATTCCAGTCTGGCACAGTGTCGGAATATAGGGATTCGGTAGGTTTGCATTCTAAAGGCTTTTAAATAAATATGGCAACATTTTGTGACGTTTCACCATTGCTGGCGCGTAGTACGGTGTTTTGCAAGTCACATAAAGCAAACAGAACTCGAGTAGTAACGCATACGGTTATTTTTTCAAAGTTTTTCATTTCTCGATGCGTCCTTAATGTGTTGGAATATACCGCGTTTACCTTACCAGACACCAGTAGAATTATATAATTATACAATGATTATGATACAATCATTCAATTTTCAAACTATGGTATTAAATATGAAGTACAAATTTGCACATCTTGATAAGGTAATAAGTTGATATCAATATCATAGATATTATCATTATGTTTTTATCACATTAACTGATTAAGACTCACCATAAGATTCTGACATGATGACACAAAATTTTGTGAGGTATATTTTATTTGATGCTCTACACTCTACAGAATAGTACAGATAATTTTTGATTTTACCTAACCAGTTTTATGTATACTTCTAGAAGTTCTAGTTCTAGGTAGTCTTAATGATGACTTCCCAATTCTTTTAGTCTTTATAGGACTTCAGTTTTAAGCAGCAAAATCAATGATAAAATCCATTCAAAATCTTTCAAAGATTCCAATATCAAACAAACAGATGTCAAATGACAAAAAAGCATAGTACAGAATCACTACAGATATTCACATCAGAATAAGAGTAAAATAGCTGTGGAAGGTGACAAAATATATCAATATTATGAGGCAAGGGAACGCTATTTTCAGATGTATGCTAGAGAAGCATGGTTCCTACAGGAACAGAGTAGGTCATATGAAAATGTTGATCTGAAACGTCTCTGACGCACTCAAAAATATGATTGAACTCCTTCAACAATAAAATAGTGGGATTATTTTCTAGTTATTTCACAAAGTTAGATGTTTTACTCGTTTTTAGACAATAACGGTGCAGCTAAAATATTCAAACAAGTAAGATTTATCATGAAGATAGCTAAAGTTCAATTAATCCGCATTCCAGGAAGGAATCAATATAGAGTGTGAGGTACGATAGTTAGTCCGCAACTGCCGGTGAAGTGGGAGCAGTGTGTTGAAGAAATGTAGTAAAAATTTTCGATGATATAATTTAGAATGCGATATCGATTGTGATGAAGAAGGACTTATGTCGTTCAAGATCTTGAATAGATTCAGTGAAATTGTTCGTTAATTTATTGCAATTACACGCAGTTTTCTAATAAACACTTGCTATCACAGTTTAAATCATGTTACTTGAGTTTATATCGTTAATATTTTCTAAATTTTCAAGAAAGAAAATAATCAGCAGTAACTATTTAATTTTGAAAATATGTATATTTAATTTATATGCATGAATAAATGTCAAAAATGATTTAATTTAGGTGTCTTCTATTGATACACAAACAACTACCGTATGTCATCCGTCAAATGAAAATGTTGTTGTATCTGCTTTTATATTTTTTTCGAAATTAATTGATGGTTAAAAAAAAAAATGCTCACATAAATGCTAGTAAAAGTGTCGAGTAAAATGAGACCAGGTATAATGACTACCGATATAATGAAAGAAAAACATCATGAGAGATTTATGAAAGTTCTAATTACCAGGGACAATAAATATATGCATTTTACTACCTCTAACACTTCGATCTTGTATTTGTTTCTAATTAAATTTAGATTCAATAATTATATTGTGGCACGGGAAATGCGCTTGTTATTGAACTTATGACTTTTTTCAGATGAAAATCTCACTTTATAACGCAGTCACAAAACGTGTTGCTTTTACTGGTATCATGAGCTACATCACTGCAGATGAGTTTGAAGAATACTGTGATGAATTTTTAAAAGTCGCGTCTCGGCTTGGAGATTCTTGGATTAAAGTTATTAACGATTCTAATGCAAGTTTCTTGGTAAAGAAAGAAACTCGGACTCTGAAAGCCCGTGCTCTATCTGAAACAGAAAACACTCGCAATAACTCTGAGAAGTCGCTTCAAGGGGCGGACTTTTCTCTAACTCCGTCCTGTGATATTGATGCATCTATAACTTCTTGCCCTGATGCTGCAATAAATAATTCTGACTCTGACGACATGAAATACGACATTGAAAGCGATCCTTCGGAATTTGAAATTTTGAGGGAAGGCACCGCTGTTACTTTCGAGTACAACATCTTATACAGCTTTAGTTACAGCGTTCCTATCTTGACCTTTGAAGCCTTTAATTCGTCTGGTAAGCCTTTGTCCTTAGAGGATGTATGGGACAGAGTGGTTGACAGTCACTTCGTTGGGCAAATACAGCCAAGGAGGTGGGAGTCCTTGACGATGATGGAACATCCTGTCAAAGGCAGTCCTTGCTACGGCCTTCATCCCTGCAAGACCGCTCAGCTACTGCAGCAGGTGGAAGACATCCGCAGTGAGTGTTCGCGCGGCTTCAACGGCCACACGGAAGACTGCGAGGCAGACAACGCAGCCAAGGATGATACGAGTGTTCCTTGTGGCACAGTGACAACGGAAGAAGAACCAAGCAGAGTGTCTAATCAAACGAATACTAAAATGAGGAACTACAAAGCACAGCAAGAAGTTTCCGCCACGGTTGGAGAAGATTTGGGACTTGGGCAATTGAAGGGTGCGGCATACATAATTAGTTGGCTTTCGATGATGGGCCCAGCTATAGGTCTGAAATTAGACATAAGATATTTTACTGTAAAGTGAACCTTAGGATCCTGAATACTATTAAACGTTTCCTAAATATTTGCCATTTTAAATGTTTTTAATTCAATGTCTGTGTATTACTAGACAGGTGCTCACATTGAAGACAGGTACTAGACAGGTGGTCAGGGGCTGATCGAGCGCGTATCCACGGTACTTATCTTGCTAGGAAATTATTACGTGGACCTGAATATGTTTTATAGTATATAATAGAAATACATTAAATAACGGTGAGTTAGTGAGTTGATTTAGAAGTGAAACTTAGATTTGAAGTTTGCATGTATAAATTTAATATTTACATTATTTTGGGAAGATTGAAAGGATTCGTGATAGCTAAATTGGTGTTGACCGAGTTCGGGAAAATAGGATTCTCAAATCTGAGGAATCATTCCATCCCTGCATGGCAAAACGAGGTTCAGTTGCTTTTTCTAAATATAAAAGCCAGGAATAACTTTTTTCAACAATTTATTAAAAATAATACAAATATCGCATCTTTCATCATGACGTGTTTTGTATAAATAACCTAAATGGAACCGTATGATTGAATGTAGAAAACCATGAAATTTGTCGTTTCGCATTATGAGTGACATCGTTCTGTAAAAAAATTTTTGCTTGACACTCAGAACCTATTGCTTTCAATATAGTAGGCACCTTTTAATGTTCTTAACGAATAAGTACAGTCATTTGATTACTTAATTTAACTCACTATTCTTAATTAATAATTGTTTTTTCATTGGAGTTACGTAATAGATATGGTATCTTGTAAAGTGAGGATTCAAATTATTTGTGAAATAGTTCAAAATCTAATAAACTATTTTTTCTTACATCGTCTGTTTCAATTTGCCGATGCGAATAAGTCAAAGGCTTGAAGAAACAACAATTATAAATCTTGTATCTGCCGAATTATTACCATTCGCCGCTCTGTGCCGTAAGGTCTTCGATTACGATTATTAATTATTAATTAAAAAAAGTTGGCAGGCTTCTTCAATTAACAACGAGTTATCATTAGTGTGACGCGACCGGATATTAGCGTGTTTAGCCCCTAATATGAGTTCAATCAAGTCGATTGAATTCAAAAATAAATTTATTGACTAAAAAATTATCCCTGAAAGCACGAGTCTTAAAACAACAAAAAAGCACGAAAGTACGAGTCTTAAAACAACATAAAAGCACGAAAGTATATATACGAGTCTTAAAACAAAACACGAAAGGTAACTTAGCTTCATCGACTGCTATCACACATCCGGCTGCGAATTATGAAGATTTCCTACTTCTATATTAAATGTTGCTACGGTGACGGCGCATGGCTGAACTCTGCAGCTGTAGCAGACGGTTATACATGAAATGACTGTTTTGGTTACGTTACGGTTACAATGGCCGTTATCACAGCTACCTATATAATATAGACTGTACAGATCTTGTAAATAGAGTTACCGTCGGGTGCCAATAAGTTCATATCAAATTATCGTTGAACTTAAGTTCACTTCTAGGACGCAGCCCCAGACTACTGTGCTTATCTTAGTCTAATTGTTAAGGTCATTGGCCAATTGCTATTTATTTGTTAGCCGACGCTGTAAAAATGTACTATAGTTTATTATGATATGCCTGATAACTATAACTATTCATCTACAAATTTATTCGATCATCACAGATTCAGCCTAAACTATCTTTGGCGGCTGGATTTAATCTAAAATCATCTAAAATTTACAGCTACTCGTTATTTAATATTCATAACACATAGTACGAAATTTTAGAGCAGTCATTCCTGCTCTCTAGATGGACAAGCTGCAGGCCGTTCTCTAGCATCCATGTCCTACACTCTAGAAGGACAAGCTGCAGGCCGTTCTCTAGCGTCCATGTCCTGCACCCTAGGACAAGCTGCAGGCCGTTCTCTAGCGTCCATGTCCTGCTCTCTAGATGGACAAGCTGCAGGCCGTTCTCTAGCGTCCATGTCCTGCTCTCTATAAGGACAAGTTGCAGGTTGTTCTCTAGCGTCCATGTCCTGCTCTCTATAAGGACAAGTTGCAGGTTGTTCTCTAGCGTCCTGTCCTGCTCTCTAGGTGGACAAGCTGCAGGCCGTTCTCTAGCGTCCATGTCCTGCTCTCTAGATGGACAAGCTGCAGGCCGTTCTCTAGCATCCATGTCCTGCTCTCCATAAGGACAAGTTGCAGGTTGTTCTCTAGCGTCCATGTCCTGCTTTCTAGATGGACAAGCGGCAGGCCGTTCTCTAGCGTCCATGTCCTGCTCTCTAGATGGACAAGTTGCAGGTCGTTCTCTAGCGTCCATGTCCTGCTCTCTAGAAGGAAGAGCTGCAGGCCGTTCTCTAGCGTCCATGTCCTGCTCTCTAGAAGGAATGGCGGCCGAGACTCTAGAAAAGTTACAAGGCAAAAAGTCGAGGTGAGGAGATTGAGTTTTATCTCGGTAGCTGGCTATGTCGTGGCAATCATTATCTTCGTGACACAGATCTCGATTTTAATACCGTTTACAACCTTAAAATCACCGAAACGTTTCGACATTATGTTTACTTCGATACAATAACATTCTTATTTACAATTTTCAAATCGCATAAACCATCACTTATGCACTGATCAATCGTTTATACTGAGATGATGACTCATTTTTCGTTTCAAATCTGTTAACTCTTTTAAATCTGGCTCCATTTTACCATTGATGTATTCGTCACCAGTTGTGACGTCATAAATTCCCAATGTGGCCCTATTGATTCCCAATCTTCATTTCTCGTTCCAATTTAATCATTCGCATTTGGATTTGTCTCATAAGAATCTTACAAGAAATTGTATTAGTTCTCTGAAGACAATGTCATGTTCTTGCATAATTGCTGCTCGGATGTAATGGACCTTGGGGGGTGCCCGACTCTTGCGCGGTAGGACCAGATGCACTGGCCAGTCTGAAACCTAAATTCACCGAAGCACTCCGATGGTTTTCACGGAACATTCCTTCATTGAAATTGTATTTCAAAAGCTCCTTGTGACATAAATGTGAATTTTCAGTGCATTATCTAGGAGTGCGCGAGCAATCACATCAAATTAGAGGCATTCGGGAGGGGGACTATAATTTTGGCATAATATTCGGGACGGTAGTGCGCTCTAAGGCCACCGACCGGCTATAGGAGCTGGCATTAGCCGATTGGGTAAATGTTGATAAAGCTTTATTGTCGGATACTGAAGGTAAAATATCTATATCAGAAGGTGGAGTGACAGAAAATAACTTTGTGGTTCCATCACACGCATTTGGAGATATATTATCTAGTGGCTGGATACGGGACGACTGAAATAACCCAGCATTGCCCAATACCAGCATAATTTTCATACTTCACCCCGTGCGCAAGCGTGCTGCACAGCAAATTAGCCAACATGATTACTTGCAGAAAGCCACAGGGACTAAATTCCTTCATGGATGTAAACCAGCGAGCCAATGACCTGCAAGCCGCCAAAACAATGGTCGTAACCCACACGCTAAACCCCAAAATATTTCTATTCCATGCAGCCTAGCCCCTTCTCCACTTTCGATAAAGAACGCCCTGCGCCACACTGCTACCTCTCCAGCCTGTCCGTTCTTCTGGAGGCTAAACCTCCACGCTTACCCCCTGCTCCCCCTCCTTTCGGTACCAGCTTGCGGAAGAAGTTTAACCAAACCTAACCTAACCTAACCCCTTCGCGGTATCGCGGAAAGGTGGAGAGAATGGGGTAAGTGTGGAGGTAGAATATGCTGGTGAGCGTTAGGGCTGGGCTTACGCCTGCGAAGTGGGTAAGGTGATGCGACAGTCCGGTGCGGATTGCGGACCCTGTGGCTTACGGCATTTGTAAGAAGTGATGGTATGGGCTTAAATCATTGTTGTAGGAGCTATTGGGCGTAATCCGTTTGTAGTATCAGTTTGTGGGATGAGGCATTGCTTGTTTCAAGCTGGTGTGGCGAGATGAGGCAAGTAAGAACAGCTGCATAGGTATTAGACTGACTATTTCTATTGCATGTTGAGGGTTGGCATTGGCTTTTGGGCTGATTTAAGAGTCAAATTTTTGGGCTACGGCAGCGCTCCCGCTGGATACCTGCACTCGGCATTGCCGTGCTAGCACCTGATAATGGAGTGCCAGCATTCGATAGTGGAATGTCAGATCCCAACATCGGGGTTTCAGCTCCCAACATCGGGATGCCAGCTCCCAACATCGGGGTGTCAGCTCCCGACAACGGAATGTCAGCTCCCGACATCGGAATGTCAGCTCCCGACATCGTAATAATAGCACTCAACGTTGGTGAGCTAGCAGTTTCCGCCGGAGGATCAGTTCTTCCGGGCGTTTCGCTTTCACTTTTGGATGCATTATCAGGGTTTTTGCTGAAACTTGCTTCTCGAAGGTAATCAAAGCAATTCTCGAGATCGAAAGTAAGTTTACAATCTTTGCAGGAGTCTTCGTATGGCGGAGGAAAAACGGCAACCTGGTTGGGACTTGGAGTATGAGTCCTGGTGGCATAAGGTGGAGGTGCTTGGTACAAGTCCTCGTACGCGGGAGGTTTTCTTTTTCCTTTCGAGTGGTAAGGCCCGTTGTAGTTTTCATCGCCGCTGCACATCATAGGCACGATCACAGCGGGAGATCTACTGCGATGGTCGCCCCGCGTAACATTTTGCTCCCTCGATCCCGGCCTCTGTGTCCGAGGTTGGACGGAATTGCGAAGAACACGTCTGGTCACGTCAGGTAACACAGAGGTTACTTCAGTGCTACTGATGTCGGTGTTGCTGCATGGAGAGGCGCCGGAGCAGCAGTAGACCAGAATAAACAGCAAGACGATTACCATCACTGCCAGCGTGAACAGGGCTTGGTTCTCTGACGGGTAGTCAATATCTGAAATGGAGAACTTTTTTAGAGGTATACACTTTCAGAACGAAACCAACAGAGTATCATCATTTCTCTAAATAATTTGTTGAGAGATAACATTTCGCTGCCAATAAGTTCAAGTAAGATCATCGTTGAACATATAGTTAATAATAAATTCATTATTAAATTTCTAAAAAATTAAACTTTAATCAAGGCTTAAATTTTAAAAGTAGGCAATTGATCAAACGAAAACTTAATAGGTAGTTTTCGATTTATTGGTAGGGCTAAGGTTTTTTAACGCAGGTCAATTTTAGATAAATTATAATACATTCATCAAGTTAAGCTATCTTCTTTCTGAAACTGCAGAATGTCACAATAGTAAGTGCATAGACAACATCTATTATATATTATATTACTTCTACATATATTCTATATATACGAGCAAATATTATGTAGTAAAATTCTTTATTTATGAAGCAGTGAAGCCCTTCACTATTTTTGCTATTTTTACCGTCCTATTTCCTCCCCACCCCCCACCTGATTTCCGCTAATTTTTTCAGCTGATCCTTTTTTTAAGAGAAGGTCGAGACACTTGTCCCTATACATATAAACCTGGGGCCATTTTTTCAAAACTCGCTAAGTGAACGTAAGTACTTATGCTCTATTTTCTTGTCTATGATTGGTGGATTTGGCTTGAAAGCCCGTCATTGATTGGCTAATGAACTTACGATCTCTCAACTTTTTTTTGAAAGTATGGGCCCTGAACCCGATAACCTACAAATTCGTGGTACCGGAAAAGACATAAATATCTTGATGAACAAATACTATGTATTTTCACCGCAGGACCTTGCGGAAAATTCTATTGAATTATGTTGGTCAAACCATTACAGGAAATATTTCAAATTCTCAAATTAAGCAATTTCAATTTTTTTCAATCACATCATCAACATATCAAAAACTTGTGGTGAAAATAACATCCCTAATGTAGGGATTGAAAATTGGGTAATTTTTAAATATACGAGGCATGTTTTTGAAGTAAGCACCGTTTTGAAATAAAAAAAAAAGGAAAAAAATTAATCCACTTTAAAGGCCATATATCACTCTACTTCTCTACATAATTTCCATAAATGTTGAGGCATTTATCGTATATTGGGATCAGCTGTTGAAGAGCTTGATTGGGATTGATTGGGATCGTCGTCAAAGAAGCGGGCCGCCTGATTAGACAATTTCGTAAAGAAAACTTCTTGAGTTAGCACGAAAAGTTTCAGCTAGGGAAGAAAGCGTGAATCGTCTGCTGTTATTCAATTTACTGTCCACCTTTTGAATCCGATCGTCGGTAATGATTGAAGGTTCCTCATAAAACTTAGTTCCTCGTGATGAATGTTTGTACGGCCATCTTTAAAGACCATAACCCATTTCCGCACCATTCACAATGTTTGCGCTCTTTTTTTCTCATTTGATTTGAAGGCTTCGGGTATGCTGGTAGCACACCTCCCAGCCTGAGTACAGAGATATTGGAAACTTCACGTCACAGTTAGCTCACTTCACTTAAATAGTACTTCACTTATGGATCACTTTTCTTTTGGATCTCTTTACTTTTAACACTTCCACCAGCCGGTGTGGCAGTAATTTTTGAACAGAAAAATATAATTAGGCTTAGAAGAATATTCAAAGCCTGGTCATCATAATGCATCTGAGCAAATGTTGACCAAGATGACGGATGTCAGCAGTGCGGTTCGTCCTTGGAACATTATCACCTCCAAGAGCTGAAAGAAGATCCCAGAGAAGTGGAAGGCCATCCAGTCTTGAGCGGAAATCCCTTCGTTGGTTGGTGAATTGTGAGCAATGCAGAATAAGATGGCTTATTGTGCCCTCAACATTGAATATTGCACAGTTACTTGTATCTGCCAAGTTGAATCTGGCCAAATGAGCGTTGACACCGGCGTGTCCCAGGCGCAGATGTGACATAGCGCATTCAACAGAACGTGGCAGCATCCTATAGTCCACATAGGCAATCTCAGGTCCCAAACTTCTTCGGAAAGTCGTCTTGCCCATTTTCAGAATGTCAGCTAGCTGACCATTGGCGTTCCATTTTCAAACAGAGAGGGCATTTACAGAGCAGATCCACTCCTCACAACACAGCACAGATCCTGCTAAACGGTTGTTTGAATGCGCCAGATTTGCAAACCTGTCTGCAACTTCATTTTCGCGGATACCACTGTGGCCCCTGATCCGGCAAAACACAATTCCGTCAAGTCCCTTGACCAGCAGCAACCTTTGTATTTCGAAGACAGTTGTGCGATATGTGTGCCCGGACAAGTGTGATAAAAGCTGCAGAACTGACATCGAATCTGTCAGTATTAAAATAGGCTTTCTTTTCAGAGATTCATCATCGGTGGCCAGCTGCATGGCTTTGTGTTTTGCAAACAATTCAGCACCAGGAACCGTCTGCTCTCATCGGAGTAACCAGCCAGTCGCCAAATGGGTTGATGGAACAAAAAGCCCAGCCGAAACTGACCCATCATCCGACTCGGAGCCATCTGTACAAATTTAGATATGTTTTGGATAGTGTTCCAGGAGAAAGTCAGAGAAGCAATTCTGAATAAGTTTATGCGGCATATTAATCAAAAAATTGTCTTGCAAGCTGAGAAGTATGTTTGATGCAAGATCCACTTGAGGAGAAATTGGACTTATCAGGAGAGTTGCAGCACGATCGATGAGGGAGTGAGAGGCTCAACTTACGGAGACTTTCTGAGCTTTAATGATAAAAGAAGTGTCACCATGAAGTCCCCGGTCGGAGAATGTCATTATGTTGGGTGCTTGGTCCCCTGCAGGCATGTACAAATACCTCAAAACTCATTTAATGAACAGATATGAGAATCATATTTGCAAAGGTATGAAGCTTCAACTTGCAGAGACACTATGGGTGTAGTACGGCAAGCTCCCTGGATGTATCGGAGGGCAGAGTTTCGAACAGTTTCAAGTTGTTACAACAAAGACTTCAAAATGTCCCATAAAATTGTTGAGCCATACTCCATCTTGCTTCGTATGAACGCCACATATATTCTACACAGTGGCTTTCGTGAGGACCCCCATTTCACAGAAGCGATTGAAGCACTTGTACCCTTTAAAGGCAAGCAGTGCGAGTTTGTCCAACACGCTCTTCGAAGGTGATGTGAGGGTACTCAAAATAAAATTACAGCACTTTTTGGCGTACCACAAACTGTTTGTTCCTGTTACACACCCGAAGTGATACAGCTGGAGCGGATCGATGAGATGTGAAGACCTGGTAAGTAAACTTTGCTGGGTTCAACTTCAACTGGCAGCGAGTGCACCACCCACCAATCTCGTCAAGATACCCCTGCATGTGGCCACGTGCTTCAATTAAGGACGGCCCACTTGCAAAAAGTGTTATATAGCCAGCATAAACAACAAGCTTCACATGAGGGTAGATTGGGAGATCGTGTAGCATCACATTGAAGACTGTTGGTGTAAGCACAGCACCTTGTGGTACTCCAGTATACGCACTGTTATACGTACTAATAATGTTTTCGCCATGCATTTCGTTGATTTGAGATGAATACCAACTGAATTGAAGTCTTCTCTGAGAGGAAACGCACGCACGCCGGAGTCTGCGGGGTTCTCAATAGGTGGAGGCCATGTTACCCTCTACCTCCTGACATGAGTAACTGGAGCAATATTGTCACAAGCCTACTTCCCATAAAGGATACGTTCTAGTGAGCGCAAAATGACTTGCACTGATGGTTGCCGCCACGTACGACAACTTTAAAATGTTCTCTGTTGCGTATGAAAGTCATCAGGTTGCTATAGTCAATAGTTCACGTATAATTATATGTTCCCGGAAAGTGACATACGGCGGTAGAGGATTAAAATCAGGTAAACAGATGTAGACTAGATCGGATGGTACCGTATTGGTGTCTGTGGCTTCCCAACAGATGTGGCTACACGGTATACATGCGTTAAACGGTGTCGGGAGCGCTGGAGCGGCGTAATTTACGGAACTCACTCTAAAAACACGCCTCGTAAAATTGCATTAGAATAATTGGTAGCTCCAGCCTCCATCATTCTCAAGAAACTGGGATACAAGAAAATGGTCGGCCGTAACCAGATGTTGTGCCAACATTTGTAGCCAATAAATTATATAAATAATTTTACAATTCGTTATCTAGCAAATCAATTTGAAAACCAAGCCGAATTGGAAGTGCAATTAAGCAATGAAAGTAAAGACCTCCATGATATTGTATCTAGACGTAGAATATTAAAGAATGCAGATTTATAATACGGCAATGTACTTGCATGCATCATAGAAAATATTGAAAGTACGATTCATATGGAAAAACACAGCTTACCTGTGCTGTAAGAGTTTGATTTGACGAATCCATTAGGTGAGTAATCCATGTTCATGAATAAATGAGAGTAACGCAACTCTGATGGGTACACTGCTCGGGAACTGTGAAACTCTGATCATTTCTATTGAATGAATGGACGCAGTAATTTCACTAATTACATGAATTTACTACTTGAAGAGGATTATTCAATTACATAATACAGCAGGTTATAAGATTCATGCATTAGGAAACCAATGACTTTTTCAGATTTTGATGCTCGATTTAGATTTTGATTTAGAATCACCGCTTTATAAAACTAGTTCGCACAAGCACCTCACAGCTGCGTAGGACGCTGTCTTCTGGCACCCAAGTCACTCTAGAGTGCAGGCAGTTCGGGGCGAGGGTGGCAATGGCAAGGCATCTTGGCATTCTTGGCAAAACCTTCCCTATAAACAGGGCATCTTTCTGAACATATTCCTCCCAAATAAAGCTATGCTGTGTACTTTGCTTGTCATCCCAGTGAACTTTGCTTGCCAACCCAGCCATCCCAGTGAACTACTCATTGGATTAGACACTTTACTGTAATCAGTCTTGATAGATTGTGCAGTTGTAGAATATCTGATAAAAGCACTGCTATTTAATAAGAAAATTAGACTAAGCAAAGAGATGCTACATTGTCTTTTGCTTGGTAATCTCTACAATGACGTCGTGCTGAGTTTGGACCACCATATCTACTAAAATAATATGCGTTTAAAAACTGCTTTAAAAAACACTTCTAAAGAGGCCAGTGTCTTCGATGTTTACACATGTTCGATGAATTTCTTATTTTCTTTTTAAATATTTAAAAATATATATTTTTAATTTTTATAATAAAGAATTTTTACTCCTTTAAATTATTTATTTTGTCAATTGATTCGTGCATTGTCTCCAACTTTACGCAAGTGTGCAAAATTTCAGATCGATTGGACTGGTAGAAGTGTGTTAAATATCGATGTTAAGATTTACAACAGATAAACAAACAAACTAACAACAAGAAGTGAAATTAAAGAGAAGTGCTGTAATAAAAATTAAGCAAGCAGTTTTGAGTTAAGCATTTAGTTAACAACGTTGAGTAGGAGATACGTTTCAAACAGCGTTGAAAATAAATTACCTTGCAGTTACCACACAACATTTAAGCAAAAATTTATAATTTGAATTATTCAATCTTTTCTTTTTGGCCCGTTTCTTCGGTAAATAATAAAACTTCGGTGCACTTGAAGCCCCAAAATCTTTTGATAGGCCTAATTTTTTGTCGAATGATCATAAGTTGTCATAAGAAAACTTTCTTTACGACAAGACACCGCACGTTTAATTTTTGTAACCCCTACTGTTAAGGCATCTCTACAAGATATGCACGTTCGAAACACAGAGCTACCCGTAAGATGGCGCAGCAGTAGGCCGCACATTTAACTCACAAACATTCCTTGAAGGCAATGCTCAGGCTCATCATGGACTAACTGCACTCGGCATCATAGAATAGAATAGAAGTGTCGGCACTGAAGAAATAGGACCATGGCCTGTTGCCGATTCTTGAACTTTTCGTGACTTGATTTACATGGGATCCGCAGGTTAGGCCAGAAGAGGTTCGACCGGAGTATAAGTGCGGCCGGTTACAGAACTGCCTGCTTATGAGTGAGCAAACTTATGCATTGGCTGAGGTTATATTGCGCTTTTATTTTTAAGCAGTGTGCCTCTGGTCTGGATTACGGTTCTCCAGCGCAGTCTCCAGCTCCTAGTACAGCCTCCCTGATAGCATCGTTGAAGCTCCGAGTATGAACGCCTTCAAGAACAGACTAGACGAAGCTATGCAGGAGCATATGTTCAGTTTTAAAATGCCTAGCAAATTACGGACCAGGCAATAAGTCCAGCAGCTATCTCAATCAATCGTCAGCTATGGAAAGATCGGGTTCCAAAGGCCGCCCGCAGCTGTTCACGCTGCCTCGACATACACTCTTCTTGCAGCCACTAGACATTTCTATTGGCTTCAAGATTTTGTTTTAAAGATACTCGTATTTAAACATATTGCCGACAATATTTTCAGCAATAAATATATTTAAATATACATGTTTGAGCACGATGAAGTATGGCAGATCCTTCAATGAGAAGAATAATATTCCTATATTACTAAAGACAGCATCATACGTAATAACTCTAGAGTAAAATTTTACCCGCTTGTCTCGACCGCTGCATGGTAGTGATGTTTTTGATGGTGTGGGTGAGGAAACAGGAAGGCAAGCAGGGTAGTTCACGTAACATCAAGGCAGGCAATATTCCATTGTTTCTAGAGTGTCAGTTTAACTGTAATCAGTACAGTTTAATTATTTTAATAATATGTTTAATAATAATCTTATTCAGTTATCAGTTAAATCAGTTAAGATCCTTTCTACAGATCCGATAGCACTAACATATATCACCTGAGAAATATCAGAACAGACAACCTGTGAATTTGATCGTTAACTTAGTATATAAATGCATTGAAAGTATCTCGAATTTCTCATTTCAAAATTAACTAATACGAAATCTTTGTTTCCGAAAGGAACATAGTTGACAATAAAATGCTCACTCATGAGTACTCATCGTCTTTTACGCTTATTTACTCATTCTTACTCAAACGTTTCTTGCAAACATCGACAGAAATACGCGCCAGGGCTCATAGCTTCAAAAAATGTTAATATATCGTAATTTCATCAGCCAATCAGCCTTTCAAGCAAAATCCACCAATCATAGTCAAGAAAATAGAGCGTAAGTACTTACGTTCACTTAGCGAGTTTTGAAAGTATGGTTTCCTCTGAAGATGTTCGTAGCAACATGAACAGCCTTGTATTAATCATCTATTAATATATACACAGGAACGTTGGCAGCGTTCACGTACTGTGCGTGAAGACTTGGCGCGAGCTTGGGGACTGAGGAAATACAGTCATTGTACAGTGTGCACAGTTTACATTGTACAAATTATATTGCGCAGTTTACATTTTACAGTACATATTGTATTTACAGTTTACATTGAACAGTTGACATTGTACAGTTCACATTGCACAGTTTACATTGTACAGTTGACATTGTACAATTGAATTTGTACAGTTGACATTGTACAGTTGACATTGTACCGTTGACATTTCAGTTGACATTGTACAGTTGAAATTGTACAGTTGACATTGTACAGTTGACATTGTTCAGTTGACATTGTTCAGTTGACATTGTTCAGTTGACCTTGTTCAGTTTACATTGTACAGTTCACATTGTACAGTTCACATTGTACAGTTCACATTTACAGTTCACATTGTACAGTTTCCATAGTACAGTTTACATTGCACAGTTTACATTGTACAGTTCGCATTGTACAGTTTACATTGTACAGTTCACATTGTTCAATACACACTGTACAGTTTATATTGTACAGTTTACATTGTACAGTTTACATTGTACATTATACATTGTACAGTTTATAATGTACACTTAACATTGTACAATTTACAATGTGTAGTTTACATTATGCAGTTTAAAATGTACAGTTTACATTTCACAGTTTACATTGTATAGTTCACATTGTACAGTTCACATTGCACAGTTTACATTGTACAGTTCACATTGTACAGTTCACATTGCACAGTTTACATTGTACAGTTCACATTGCACAGTTTTACAGTTCACATTGCACAGTTTACATTGTACAGTTCACATTGCATAGTTTACATTGTACAGTTTACATTGCATAGTTTACATTGTACAGTTTACACTGTAAAGGCTGAGTTTGCAGTATTATGTAGAGTCTCTAAACTCATCCAGCGAATGGTGGGTATGAGCTAGTCTTGTAGGTCAGTGATGTGGGAAGTTACGGGTGGCAACATCTGCTAACATAATCTTGTCATGTCATAAACATTGCATACTTATATATAATATATAGTAATTAGAATTAGAATACAGTCTTCAACATGATGAATTATTGAATAAAATCGGTTACTGCTAATACAACAATAAGGTTGACGACCAACCGATCAATTAAAAATTTTATTTTTTTAGTGTATTTCGAGACAAAAACATACATGTAAATAGACACAATCCATATTTTTACAAATACTTTGAATTTCATAATAATCTTTGTTATTCCTGTATATCTATAAATCTATAATTATTTACATGCATTTATAATTCAAACTTCTACGTTATAAGTACGACTTTGAATCAAGAAACATGAAACTAATAACGGCCTTGTAAATAAATCACCATTTAACTTTTGAAGTTCAAACACGAACTTCAAACCAGCAGTGGAGTTGGCTCGTCGCATGATGAGTAACCTAAATATTGCGTACGACAATCATACGGACGATGAGTAACGGCAATCATACGGACGATGCGTAACGGCAATCATACGGACGATGAGTAACGGCAATCATACGGACGATGAGTAACGGCAATCATACGGACGATGCGTAACGGCAATCATACGGACGATGAGTAACGGCAATCATACGGACGATGAGTAACGGCAATCATACGGACGATGCGTAAGGTCAACCAAAACCATGTTTACAAATGTATAAACTCGTGTATTTAGGGACGAGCCTTATATTTAGGCAAGTCTGACTACAACTAATATCATTTTTAATTAAATCTTCTTTAGAGTTAAGTTTATATACTATTGCACTAATTATTAGACAGCTGTAGAAAGTAAGCTCTAAAAATTTTTCATATAAAAATGTCGCTATCCATAATGAAAAATAAATGTATTTGTAAATATATAAACTGTAAGTATAAGTTAACTAAACATATGAGTAACTGCTGAACGTCGATCATGCATCTTATAAGCTACATGACGAACCTCGTGCGTAAATTTAGTCAATACTATAAAACTTATTGTCTTGTTTATATATAGTATAAACAACACAATAAAATATATTGAATATTTTATTTCATGTTTCTTGGATTCTTTCTCTTCAGAATCATTTGTGTTTCAAGGGAAGATTTGCTTTGTTTCTTGGATTCTTTCTCTTCAGCATCATTTGTGTTTCAAGGGAAGATTTAAGTTCATCCTAAATCATCGTGTTGGTGCTGGCGCCCCGTCGCCATCAGGCTTAAGTGGACGTCGCCGGCCTCTACGACCACTAACCCGTTTTAAGGCCGCGCTACGACCCTAGCCCAACGATGTGTCACTTTAGCGCAAATTGGCGTCCGTTACTGCGGGGACCTTGCCTCATGTTGTGTTGTTTGTGCTATTTCCTGTTGGCACAAATTTTGTTGCTTGCCCTATTTCCTGTTGACACAAATTTTGTTGCTTGTCCTATTCCCTATTTCCTGTTGACACAAATTATGTTGCTGGCACAATTTG